TGCCTGCTGACTGTGATCCCTTCTCTCCAAGAGCAGAGGGGAAAAGAACTGGTTCACTGAGTAACTGGGTGCAGTGGCACATGCCTGTTCTCCCAGTGACCTGGGAGGCTGAGGGAGAAGGATCACAAGTTTAAAGCCAGCCTCAGTAACCTATCAAGACCCTGTCTGAATAAAATGACTATGAGTGTGGCTTAGTGGTTTAGTGCCCCTGGGTTCAACTCTGGTACCAAAAAAATAAAATAAAAAAGAAAGAAAGAACTGGTTCACTGGAGAAAGTCAGTAGTGGGAAGCTGACTGAGCCTGGTTCCCTCTCACACTGTGTGTTCAGGAGGTGGTTATGTAGGTGCTTTCTAATGGTGTGAGGCCTTGAGTCAGGGGTTGCCAGGAAGCACCAGAGAGAACAGTAGGAACATAATAGGAGGCTTGACCAGACTTGCTTCTCCCTTTCACCACCAGAAGACAGAGCAGATGCCTCGACTGCAGCCCTGAACCTGACCACAAGCAGCATTGGGAGCATTAACATGTCTGTGGACATCGATGGCACCACCTATGCAGGTAGGCCCTAGAGTCCCGGAAAATGCCCACACAGTGGCAGCCAGTAGCAGTTCAGTTCCCTGACTGGCCCTGCTTCCTTTCACATTGTCTCAGTTCCAAAGGTAAAGGGGTTCTTCTGGACTACAGAAGAATAAAGGATGCTGAAGGATACCACCCCCAACATTGACAGACACCCTTCATCTAACTCTTTTTTGGTTGATGGTTGGTAGATTAATTGAAGAAATCATTTATGTGAGGATTCATAATCAATACTACATTAGTGCCTTTAAACATTGTAGTAACTTACAAGTTAAGTTAGTGCCCACCAAGAATGGGTCTTGCAATACATGCATCTCCTTTCTCTGACCATAACACACACTCATATTACATTATGTGTCATTCCCTTTCTTTAAAATGGACCACAGGTTGAGACCCTGGCAAAGGAGTCTAACTGCAGCACAATCGATCTACATTTTTATGGTTTCTTCCCCAGTCTTTTTCAGTTGTTCCTAAACCTAATTTACCAACAGTTTTTTGTTTGTTGGTTGGTTTTGTACCTTTACTGAGGCTCTTTAAAGTGTTCAGCTTCATATTCATAGAAACAGCAGTTCTTTTCCACTGCCATTCCAGTGGTTTAGGGACCACCTTGGGAACAAGTCCAGCTGAGTGTTGGTAAATACAACTATCATTAGGGGCCACAAGGCCTGGGCTAGGTGTCACTTGCCTGTTTTACCCAGGATGTAAAAGAGTGTCAGCCAGCCTGGAGAGGCATCCAGTACAGAGGCTTTAAAACCCTACAGCTGCACCTTCTATCAAAACTGGGGGTGTAGCTGGTTGTGATGGTGCATACCTGTAATCTTAGTGACACCCTGTCTGAGAAAATAAAAAGGGCTGGGGATGAAGCTCTGTGCTAAAGCACCCCTGGATTAAATCTCCACTTCCAAAAACAACAACAAACAACTGGAGGTGCTTTCCCAGGGCTTTGCCTGTTTGAATGCTTCTGTTCTGGAGCTACACCCCCCATACACACTGTACCACCATGCAGGCCCCATGGGCCCCCTCATGCTGTAGGTCTCTGGTGGGCTACCTACCACCAGCATCGGGGACAGGGCCTTTCCCCACCCTCCTAGTGCTTTTCTCTTCTCCAACTCCTCCCCTGTCCTTGCTGGCACCACTAAAGTAGAGTCCCTAGAGGCCTCCCCTCCTCTCTCACCCAGGTTCCTGTCACTCCCCAAAGAATACTCTGATATTCCTCTCCTGCCCAAAATTTTCAGGGCCTCCATGGCCCTTGCAAACCACACCACCTTGCCTGCGCATCTCTCCAACCCCATCTGCTATAGCTCTGGCCATCACTACCCCTTGGTTGTCCCACACGCTTCAACCAGCCCTTGTCAGTTTGCACCTCTCCCTGCTGTGTCTGTGTCTCAGATTCTCTGGCCATGCTTTTCTTCACTTGGCCACTTTTCCCGCTTCCAGTAGCCCAGGCTCACTCTCCTGCTGGATCCTTTTACATCCTACCCTCCCTTGCTCTCCAAACCCTCTCTAGTGTTCCCACAACACTGGCTACACTGGTCTCAGAGCATTTGTAATGTTTTAGCGAAGTTACTGTTTCTTCTCTGTCCCCTAAGCAGTGTGTGAGCACAGGAAGGCAAGACAGTGTCTGGGCTTCTGTTGGCACCTTGCATTGTATGGAGAGCAGAGCATACTTAGGGTTAGACCTGCAGTCAGTCAGGCCTTGTTGAACTGAGTCCGCTGTCTCTTCAGCCCACACTGTTTCTCCTCCCCACCCTAGGTGTGCTGTTTGCCCAGAAACCAGTGGTTCACCTCATTGCAGGCTCTGCTCCCCAGAGCATCGGCAGCAGTGCCAGCAGCAGCAGCAGCAGCTCTCACTGCTCACCAAGTCCTACCTCATCACGGGGCACCCCCAGTGCAGAGCCCTCCACCAGCTGGTCCCTCTGACAGGCAGCACCCAGCTACCCACTCCCTACTCCTGCCGAGAGTGAAGGAAGTTGATGCACAGAAGTTACCTCATCACGGAGCCCACATCAAACACCATTTGGCCAGACGTTGAGAGTTTGGACATGACCGTCTGTCCAGGCTCCTTTCAGGTCCTGCTGTTCTCTGGGGACAGGGAGAGGCTAGAGGGGGGGACAGGTCAGCGTTGTCCAATCAGGGATTGACCTGGAGAACTGGGCAGAGGTCTGGGTGTCCAGGTTTCTCTAGGGTTCCCCGGCCACCTCCCATCCCGGGTCACAGTGTATCGACAATCTGAAAGCCGACACAGGGCTGGAGGCCCTCCATATCCCTTCCCCTTTAATTTATTTCCTTTTCCCTGCCTTCTACCATCACCCCAACTCCACTGCTCTCTTCCTTGACCCAGTCCCCCAGTTTTAAAATCCCTTGTGGTGCTGCTAGGAGCCAAGAGCGTGCCTTCCTGGCTCTTGTCTGCAGAGCATGGGATGGGGCCCTCCCAGCCCACCTAGCCTACTGTTTGGTTCCTGGAGGGTGGGTCCCTCAAATCCAAGTCATGAATCAGTACTCAGGATCCTATATCCCCTTTTAAAGGGCCTGAGAAAGAGCACGTGAGAACAGACTTCAGTCCCAGGGCCTCCAGGCAGCTGCTGAAGAGAAGCAGAGCTTAGGCTGCCTAGGCCCTGGCACCCACTTCACACGGATCCTATTCTGACCCTCCCAAACCTCAGGCTCCCCACTTGCCCTTGTTGGCCAGCACTCCCAAGTCAACCCATTTGTCCCTGGCTCCTGTCATCGTCTCTTGGGGCCATCTGAGCCCCATTTGCCCCAGATGTGCTGATGTCAGGTTCACTGAAATACCTCAGATTTGTAATTGTTGATGTTTGATTCTTCAGGAAGTATTTGCATCTCTGAAATCTTTTTTATATGTGTTTTGCTGACTTTTTGTTTTTTATTTTTAAATTGTTATTGTTGTTGCTGTTGTTGTAGCACCAAAGAAATGAGAGCGGATCACCCCAGCCAGATGAGGCTCAGTAGCCAGCCCTGGCTCAGTAGCCAGCCCCTCCAGCCCTGCCCAGGCCCCAGCCCACAGGCCAGGCGGGAGCAGGTGGGATGACTCAGGGATCACTGTGGTGGGAGGGAGGGGCAGATGGAGAGGCCCACTCTTGCTGGCTGCTTCTGAAGAGGGCCTTGACTCCTGTGTTCTGCCGCCCTCTGCTCCAGCTGACAGAGTAGGGCAGGACATCTCTCCTCACTCAGCATTCCCACCTCAGGACATGAGGTAGGTGGCTGTGGGCCCTGCTGGTGGCCAAGCTACCCAGGGAACGAGGAAATGCTGAGAGAGCTCCTTCTCTTCTCTTGGCTCCCGCTGCTTCTGTGTGGTAAAGAAGGCGTGATGCTTGCACAAGGCTCGCCTCTCGGCCAAAAGAGTTCACTGGAACACCACCCACAAGAACTCCCTGGGTGGTGGCAGTGGAGATCACAGCATGGCCTATACTTGGTCCTATCCAGGGAAAGAAAGGGAAATCAAAAGCTTGCACGCAAGACATACCTCAACCTGGTAAGCAGCCGCTCTGCTGACCTGCATCTCCTCCTCCCTCCCCCGGCCTTCCACACATCTGCGCATGTGTGCACACACACACGTGTTCACACTTGTACACACATGCATTCTCACATTTACACACATTCGCATATTTTCGCACACATTTACTCATACACATGGGCACAGCCCATCCCCTGGGGGCTGCCCCTCTGGCCTCAGAAGCCTTTCCCTCCAGGCACATGCCAGGTGTGGGCAGAGAAGGCCATCTGGAATCTGGTGCCAGTGAGAAGCCCAGGTGGCTGATTCTGGGCCCATTTGAGAGAGTCTCAGACATTTGGCCAATGTATCTTTCTCAGGGTTTGGTCACAAAAGAATGGACTCTTCCCACCCAGAAGATGCAGGGTCAGTGCACTGGGTTTTTCTGGCATTGAACCCTTTCCCTTTCCTCAGGCATCATGCTGATCTGTCCCTCCGAGTGCCCTCACTCTTTCCTAAGGCCAGCAGCAGGGGCTCAGCCAGAAAGTGTGAGAGTAGAGGCACTAGCTGTTGCCCCAGCATTCACGCTCTGGCCCAAGCAGAGCTTTCCCTGGAGGTTCAGTCCTTGAAGGCCACATGGGAGGCAGTTGGCCAGAGCAACTCTGTCCCCTCCCCTTTCCCATCTTATATGTATTTTAACCAGGAAAAATGTGATAGCACATGGGTAGCCTAGGCAGTGAATAAATACCTCAGACATCCTCTTGCAGCAAGTGTCTATATGTTGTGGTTATTTTCTATCTTACATGTCTTGAATGTTTATATTTCAATAAAACTCTACCTCTTCACAAGCAGGTCTCTCTGTTGCTTTGAGTGACTCTTGCACGGTGTGAGGTCCTTCAGAGTGAAAAGGGAGCAAGGGAGCTGCTTCTCTGGTCCCCTGGCTTCTCTGAACCTTCTCCCCTGCACTGCTCACCTTTCATCCCCAGAGCATCTACTCTCAGGTTATCGGCTGTTTTAGCAGTGTACTCTATCATTGGGTAGTCACCAAAGCTGATTCCATTAGGGTTACCTCATTGTCTTGACAGGCATAGGGCCAGGGGATCACCTCTTTAGCTTAGCATGCTCCTGCTGAACTGCTAGATGAGATGCCAAGGGAAAAGACACGGCATCTAGACAAAGACTTGTTCTTTGGGATGTGGTATAACATGGACTCTATATGAACAGTCGACAGTGGACAGGTCCTTTTGGCTCTCTGAGCAGCACCATGGCGGTAGGCAAGAACAAGCGCCTTACAAAAAGGCGGCAAGAAGGGAGCCAAGAAGTGGTTGATCCATTTTCTAAGAAAGATTGGTATGATGTGAAAGCACTGGCAATGTTCAATATAAGAAATATTGGAAAAACATTAGTCACCAGGACTCAGGGAACCAAAATTGCTTCTGATGGCCTCAAGGGTCGGGTATTTGAAGTGAGTCTTGTTGATCTGCAGAGTGATGAAGTTGCGTTTAGGAAGTTCAAGCTAATTACTGAGGATGTTCAGGGAAAAAACTGCCTGACCAACTTCCATTGCAATTGGATCTTACCCGTCATGACTACCGGTCCAGCATACAGTCACACCTGTGGATAGGTCTTTGTACCAGCGCGGGGGGCATGAGGTTCTTTGCCTCACCTCTGTTGGCCCTCAAATTTTAGCTGAACAACCATGACAAGCAGAAGAGAGGAAGATACACCAAGTCAATTGACGGCTCCTTTTGGAAAAATTGTACCACCAATGACACCATCAGCAAAAATACCCCAACACTACCACAAGTCGCTGCACCAACAGTTCACAATGCATACAAGTGAGTTCACAATGCATACAAGTGATACATAGTCCAGGCAAGTTCTGCCAGCAGTTCAGTGATGGCTATTGCAGAAGCTGTAGATTGGTTTTATCTTTGTCTTCACTGGCACTGGGATGAAGATAGGAATTCTGGCAATAATAGCTAAAGAAAAAATTATGTAACATTCCAGAAGGCACTAAAAGAAAACAATTTTCTTAACAATGTACCTTATCTTGAACAGAATTATTAAATATAATGAAAAGGAAAGGTGAAAGTAAACAGATCTGTTAACCTCCTTTTTTGTTCACATATTAAAACAATCCTCAACAGCTGTTTACCCAATTTAAATTAAACCATTTAAATCATGTGAATAAAAAAATTTTTTTGGATCCATTTTTTTATGAGCGCTCATCATATATGATATATAGACATACGTACATACAAACATACAACATAAAAGGTGGAAGCTGGAGCAACTCACCTGGGAATCTCTGGAGGTCTTCCCAGGAAGTGCCTTTATATGTGGAAGAGCCAGCTGGAGATGTTTAGGAAGAGCCCTTCCAGCAGGGAACTGATGGGTATGGAAATGCAGTGGCATCAGAGAATCTGGTGTTGGACTAGCCAGTGCCAAGGGTCAGAGGGGTGGGAGTGGTGGGGGATTGGGAAAAGATAAGACTCCAGACTAAAAGATTTGGGTACCATCTTCTGAGAATCAGAGGCTGTGTTTTAACCAGAGTTCAGGTTTAGAAAGGCTCTTCCAAGCCAGGTGAAGTAAGATATCTATAATCCTAGCAACTCGGGTGCTGTGGCAGGAGAATCCCAAGCTTGAGGCTAGCCTGGGCAACTTAGCGAAGACCTCATCTCAAAAAGGCTGGGGGTATAGTTCCATGGTAGAGCACTTGCCTAGCACATTCAAGGCCCTGGGTTTGATCACCAGCGCCACATATAAAAAAAAGTGCTTGAAGCAGCTCCCCTTAAACTCTGCCTGATGTGCTTCCTTTCCGGGAGAAGAAGGGGCCAGCCAGCATGCTAACCAGACAGAGGAAGAGCACCCAGGACTTTTTGTCCCCAGGTCTCCACTGTGCCATGCTGCCCCCAGCCAGAGGTCACTGGGTGGCAGCTCCAAGAAAAGCTTTCCCAACTACCCTCATCAGGCCACACTATCACCTGTCTACCAGGATTAGACCACACTCCCTGGGAGCTGAGGGCTGAGGGCACAGTGGTAAAGCCTAGGAATGACTTTAGCCTAATTGCCATGACAGAAAAGGGGAAACCCCCTAAGGCTACCCCTCTGCCTGCAGGAAAAGAAGGCTACCAGGTCTCTGAAATGGGAGTGAAGGTCATTGCCACGAAGGAAAGGGGAAATGGTGTCTGAGGGGCTTATGAAAGGAGGTTTGGGATCACTGCTGGGAAGAGGAAACAAAGGAGTAGCCAGAATAGGAAGAGCAGGGGGAGGGTACCCAGCTGGTGGTTGGCCCTCCACAGGAGTTAGGGATCCAAGATAGACAAGGCCAAGAGGGGCTGAGCGCTGGGGCACACAGGAGTAGTCCCAGTACTCGGGAAGCTGAGGCTGGAGCATCGTTTGAACCCAGGAGTTTAAGGTCAGCCCAAGGAACATAATGAAGCCCCATCTCAATATCTATATATATCCAAAGGGATAGAAGGGTAGGTGATCTTTGACAAGCCCCTGGCCTTCCCTTCACTGGGGGTGAGTCCTCTGTGTGTCAGGGAGACATACAGGAGTTGGGGCTATATAAGGCCAGAGGACTGAAGGGGGAGGCAGAAGGCTAGTTGGGAGCAGCACTGGGGATGTCTGTCTTCTCCATGCATGAGACCCCCTTGGATGAACTATAATTTCTCCATCCCAATTCCACTTTCTCCATTTACTGTCACTGAAATCCAGCTCTTTCCACATGGTGAAAACCAGGACAACTGATAGGTCCCAAGTTTTATGTGTCTGGTCTTCAGCCCAAGAGGGACTAGCCCTGCTCCAATCAGTGATCCAGGCAGGGGCCCACATGGCCAGTTGGGCTTGATACCCAGCCTTGGAGCAATCATGTGAATCTGGGTTGGCATCTTGGAAACCCCAGAAAAGAAGGACAGGGTGGCATGAAGCCTCATCCTCACAATGCTGCTTCAGTCTAGAGTAGATGGAAGGAGGGTTCTGGGTATGGAGCCTGGCTGACAAGAGTTCTATAGGGGAGGAATCGCAAAGCAGAATGGGAGAGGAGTTCATGTGAAGAAGAGTAGCCAGATGACCTTGAAGGAGAGACACAGCCTAAGCCAAACTTGCCTGTGGCTATTGAGGACAGTCGTGCTATCAAGCTCAGAATATGAAATATGATAGAAGAAAACGCCTTTCTGGGACAGGTTAGGGGGCTAGGGACTTGGCTGTTGTTTTGCTGTGTGACCTAGGGCAAGTCACTACCCTTCTCTCCCTGTCTGTGAAATGGTAATTGTGATGTGATCTGAGGCATAAGTGAATAACTCACCAAAATGTCTGAAGCCCAGTGCCCAAGGCCTTCAGTAGTAAGACCAAGGGGGTGTTGGTGGGCACATTGATGACACTGTACCAATGATGCCCTACAAGGACGCTAGTACCCCCAGTGGCTACTCCTCTCCCAGCTCTACTCCTAGCCACAGAATGCCCTGGGAAAGGGCCAGGTGGCCTTATTTGAAAGTCAGAAATCTTTTTTTTTTTTTTTAATATTTATTCTTAGTTCTCGGCGGACACAACATCTTTGTTTGTATGTGGTGCTGGGGAATCGAACCCGGCTGCACGCATGCCAGGCGAGCGCGCTACTGCTTGAGCCACATCCCCAGCCCCAGAAATCTTAACATTGTGCCAATATGGACATTTCAGTCCCATAGGTAGGCAGAGGATAGGGAGACCTCTGACTGCAGTTGCCTAGCACAAACCCTGACAGACACAAACACAGGAGCCTGCTCCTCCCTGAGGAATCCCTGCGCACTCTTGGCTCTTCAAGACCTCTCAATTCAGTCCCTCTAATGCCAGGACTACCCCGCTTACTGGCAGTGGGCCAGGGACTGACCTCAATCTCTTGAGCTGCACTATGAGGCTGTGAATCTGTACCCTGGTGCACTGGGCCATGGTCTCCATGTTGCCTGGGAATGTCCCCTGGCTCCCAGCTGTTCTCAGGTGCTCCTCTTCTCTCTGGCTCAGAGGCTGAAGCTGGAATCTGAGACAGATGAGCAGAGGCAGACTCCACGAGGTACTAAGAGGCTGCAGCTTCTAGGCATGGGGTAGCTCTGGCTCTGCCAGGAAGAGGGAGGCCAGCCAAGCTCCTGCTGGAAGGACCCTCCCAGCCTTCTATTTTCGCTCGAAGTTGTCAATGGGGAGACCAAGACACAAAGGAACTAGACCCGGGTCCCACAAGGAGGGATCACTCTTGCCTCTTTGGAGGGCTATAAATGCAACCTGCAGGGGGTTTTAATTGGCTGGAGCCTTCCAGTGCCCTTCAGTGGCCCTGACTCTTTTCCTAAGGTGCCTGAAGAGGAGCTGGATCAGAGACAGGAGCCCTGCCCCATGGAGCTCCTCCCCACAGCCCTCAAAGCTGAAGACCTCATAGTGGAATAGCTTCCAAGCACAAGCAAACACTGCCTCCACTCAGTGGCTGTGTCACATTGGTGATCCTGAGCAGCTGATCACAGCAATGTCCTGTTTCTGAGTTTAGTAAGAAGGCAAATGAAGGCTTGATCATTGCACACTGGGCAAAAGGGACTTTGTGACTCAAACTTATTGGTCATAGGTATGTGTGCACAGCTCTATGGCTTTAGTTCCAGCTCAACCCACCTGGATTCCAGGTAGAGGGGAAATAGGGGACCAGGAAAACAAGCCCTGAATCAGGCACAAACATACTGTCCCGTGCAATCCTCATATCAATCCTATATGCAGGGACTGTCGTTCCCATTTTAGAGATGAGGAAGCAGACTTAGCAAAGGCAAGCAGGTAAGCGACACACAGTGCAGCATAGGATTGTGCAGTGGTCTGAAGACTACCCTCCTCCAGCTGACACCCAGGCCCAGGAACCTGGACGTCCTGACTCCCTGCACCCCCAGAACCCACCTGCCTGCCCTCTAGCTTCTTCCCTGTATCCCTCATCAGGGAGAAAGAAGACATGTTAGGAGAGATGTGTCTCCCAGGTCCAGCAGCACACCCCCACACCTGCTGCCCTAGCCCCACCCTTCCTCCTGAGGGCATGAGAAGACTTGTGTTTCCAATCCTGTAACAAAGAGGAGGGATTATAAGGCCTGCCAAATGTTCCATGAGGGAAAGCAGTGTCCCACACCCCTGCCCTGTGACCTCATTTTTCCACCATCTCCTCCCCAGAGGCCCTAGCTGCTCAGGGAGCCAACTGGAGCTGGGAGAGAGGTAGTGAGCCCACTCTCAGGGTCTTGGCAGGATCTTGACTGACCCAGTGTGGGGAAGGGAAGGTGATGGCTAGCTGCGCACCAAAGATTGGACCTGGGGAAGCCTGTAGGACTCTGCAGGCCTGGGCCATGCAGAATTGGAGTACTGCTGTTGAGTATCTGGCACTGAGCAGCTTCTGGCACCCACTGTTGAGCCTCCAGCTAGGAGTCTCCAGCTTGTAGCATATCCTAGACCTTGTGGAGCTCAGTCCACATCTGAGCTAGCTCCATGCCCACCTCTTGCAGGAAGTCTAGGCCAGAGAGCAGCAGGGTTGGCTCTCATTTTAATTTGGTCCTTCCCCAAGGATATAGCCACATCCTGGATCTACAGCCCCATTCTATTAAGACTATGCCTTTCCCCAAAGAAGGGGCCATAATAGGAGCATCAGGTACAGCGCTGATGGAAC